CGGCTGACCTCGCCCACAACAGCAAGGTCGAGGCTCGCCCTTACCAGTGCCGGCGAGGGTGAGCCTCACCGGTGGCCAGCGACCAGTTTCGCCGGCCCTAGCCCTTGGTTGGTCGCCGGTCGCTGGACAGACCAGGGAAAGAAGAAAAGGAAAAAAAATAAAAAAATTGAAAAAATAAAAAATATTCAAAAATTACCACGTCAGCGTCGGCCGGAGGGCCGGCGCCGGTCGGGGTCCATGTCAGCGCCGGCCGGCCAAAATTGGCCTGATGGACTGAGTTGGCACAAATACAAAGTTCTAGTGTGACATCCTGAACCTTTATATGATCAGAGGATGGAAGGGATCCTAAATGATTAGGGCATTCGTCAATGGAGAATTTGGAAACCGTCACCATTGTCGTCTATAAAGAAGTGTGCCGTGTTTCTTGGTGCCAATCGCCGTCGCGCCGACTGTTTATGATTTTGCGTCATCACGCTACCCGACCTTTTTACCGCTCCGCCCTCACGTTCATTTTCCTTCCCTTTTCCCGCCGCCATGCCACCGGGAACACCACCGTCACCGCCCCCCTTTTCTCTTCCCTTTTCTTCTTTTTTTTCTCTCTTTCTTCTTTCCCCTCCACCACTTGGCAGAGGAGAAGCGCCATGTGGCGCCTGTCTTCTCCACCGCCCCATCCGGCCAATGGCCATGCATGCAAAGGAAGGGGAAGAGTCATTCCACTCTCTTTCCTTCATCTCTTCTACCTGCTCTCTTCCTCGCCAGCTCTCTCTCTCACTCTCTCTCTCGTCTCTCTCTCTCTGCCCGGAACTCACCAGCCGCCGACCCAGCTGACCAGCAGCTGCTCGACCCATCCGCGGCAACCGTCCGTCCACACGATGCCGCTCCCTCTGCCGTCCCGTCTTCTCACGTCAGCGGCAGCAGCCACCACGAGCCGGAAACCGCCGCACTGTGCTCTCTCTCCCCGCCAAGACCCGCACACCGTGCCGTCACACTTGCCGTCGAGGCAAGCGTGCTCTCTCACCCCATACTAACTATTTTAGTGTTTGTATGTTGAGTTTGGGTCTCGGACTAGACAATGTGGTGGCTTGATGTTGCGGGGGAGAATGGTTTGATTGTGTATTTGCCCAAGTATGTTGGTTTAGACCTTTTGCAATGAGTTTTGTGCGTATAGGTTGCTGAACCAGGTTGAAAATGGATGTTGCATGTTGGTTTGGACTTCTGGTTTTGAGTTTCCTGGATGAGAATTCGTGGATTTCAAGTTAGAGTCGTTTTCTTGAACTTCGGATTTGTTTTCCAGAACACTGCTGGACTTTTACGGTTTTCCATTTTTATAGAGCTTTTTGTGATATGAATATTGAAAACTTTCTTCATAAAAGTTGTTCAGAAAATCTTGGAATATAACATACTTTAAATTAATATTTTTCTGAGTTCAAATGGATTGCATGAAGCCCCTATTTCTTACCGTATTAAATCTGTTCAGTACAGTAAAATCAGTGACCTTTTTGTCTTCTCGAATTTTTATAAAAATTTTCAGTTCGAAATTGGACATATTTCCTTTACGAAAGTTGTTAAAGAAATCCATGTCTACAACGTATAAAAATTTCGAAGTATTTTGAGAAGATTTGATTTGCGAAACGAGTATTTCTTTTGGTTTAATCATTCTGCTCTAGCGGGCCAGTTTTGGTTAGATTTTAAGTGGCTCATTCTCAGGTATACAAAATGATCTGGGTTTTACACTATTCATGAAAAATGTCACTTAAGGTCTTTTATATGATATATTCAAATTTCATAATTTTTTGAGATCATTTACTATATTATTGGTCTTGATTTCTCAAAATGGTGAAAACTGCCTTATTTTACCTATTGTTAGAAAATCTCGAATTTCTATTAGAAGATGATGGATTCTTAATTTCTTGTCTACTAGAGATAGTAACCACACTCAATTAGCTTTCCAATGAGGCATTAATGGTCTTGATATGATGAGGCAAAGTTGATACTCATGAATTGGTTTGAGTTCGAGGGGTACACGGTAAGTGGTAAGTTCATTGTGAGCTATGCATGTGATAAATGAAAAGATCGTTTGTGTGGGTGAATGTGTGACTAATAGATGATTGATGCCGTCGGTCTACGGATGACGATGCCCCGAGGAGCCGTAGGGAAAGCGGGATGCCGTGTCCGGTGGACTACGATGCCTAGGAGGTACCATGCCCTAGATGCCCTGGGAGTTTGATCGGGATGCCATGGTTAGTGGACTACGAAGCCCACGCAGGCCGATGAGAATTTCGGCGTATACTGCGGCAGACCGGAGGGCGCACCGGACCTTGCTAGACGGGATGTTCCTCCATGTGTGGCCCGCGAGTGCACCGGACTTGTGCCTTGGAGTGGAGATTAAAGTTTGATTAATGTCACATAACGCATGCGATGTGTGCTCGTGTGATTGTTTGTTCATTGGTTGACGATCTTAATGCCTGGTGATTAGTAGCATAGAGAGAAAAGGGAGTATATGCATGCTATGGCTGGTTGGTGGATTGGTTTAGTTGTCTATCGGATTGATCCTGTTGATATGCTTGACATTATTTGTTTAGTTTGGCGTGATAGAGTTTACTTTGCAGAGCTTTCGCTCACTGTTTATTATTGACACCTTTTTATAGATCTATAGCCATGTCGATACTTTTCACATTGACCTCCATTAGCTACGGAGTGCCCATTGATTTTGAGGGCCACTTGTTTGAGTTTGTGGACCCATACTTCCCGGGGATAGTCTTTGTCAAGTGTATCTACATCCTGACTGTAGATATTGGGTCCCTAGTGGGACCTATACTTTTGGAGTTTGTCGCCATCTATGTTCGTGCTGGAGGACGGCTAGTGGGCCTCTCCCACACCTAAGGCAAGATGGAGCAAATGATGGTGCTAGTAGCGGTTGAGTGGGGATGGTATCAAGGAGGGGGAAGGAGCAACTTTTGGAAGACACGACTGTGACATTTTGGGATAGAGTCGTGTGTTCGGGTGATCGCTTTTGTTTTTTTGAAGTGAATGGTGGGTCCATGTGAATAGTTCGAGTTGTAGTGGCGCCTATAGGTAGTCTCCCTGAGTGCGAACTCACCCTTGTATCACCCCTGTTATTAAGTATGATGAATGGTAATTTCATATTTTGCGTGTCCTTGCATTTCTATATTTCTATGTTTCTATGTCACATTCATGTTATAAATGTTGACCTTAGAAAGAAGCATCTTCCGCCTGCGAAAAATTTGATGAATATTGAGAAATAGGAGGATTCCTCTTGAAAGGGGCGGGCTTGGGACGCTACATTTAGGACTGAATTGGCCCAAAAAAAAGATTTAAGACTAAATTGGCACAATAGCAATAGGTTTAGAACTATTTTGGTAATTTTTCCATATATAAAATGACCCCAAATTGTGTTGTTTCAATCAAGTCCCACTGTATAGAATGAATCAGTGGTTAGCTTTATAGTTTGCATCAGAGATTTAATCCGGGGTTAGCTTCATGTCATTCATGCGTGTTAACTAACTTAAGATCGCATATATTGATATGTCATGCATTTAGAAAACATACATTATTTATATATGTCATCTTGCATATAGGATTTGGAATGCATGTTAATTTAACATGTAGATTCCTAGGGTTAATTCGGTCTTTTGTTAATTAACTAAGAAAAAGAGCAAAAAATTTGAATTAGAGAGTTTCATATCTATTGCATTAATTAGGTTAATTGATTTTGTATAATGCATATTGCATGACATTTAGTAAATTATGTCATATAGGATTAATTTTGATTGGTATCTCGTATAGATGACATTTCATATCAATGCATGTTCAATTTCATCGCATTTATTTTAGAACTCATCTTGCGTGTTATATAGCCATGACATTCCTACACATCATTTAGTAATGTAATTAGTGCATTAAGTTAATTTCTATCACATAGAATTTTAGGGTTCATTAGTAAAGATTGCATGTTTGTTAGTCAATAATCCATGCACATACATAACATTCATGCAAATTGTTCTAAAGTCATAGTTTGCAGAAACCTCGTGATGATGTATAGTGATATGCTTTGCTTAGCGCGTCCAGGTTCTTTATAATTTCTGTTTTTTATTTACTGCTTTGATTATTGGGTATTACTTTCCTGATTACGCACTCGCACGATCATCCCTCACCTGTTAGTGGCGTAGGATGAAAATTGATAAATAATGCACGCAAAACATTTTTGAAATAAAGAGAAAATGTACCGAAAATGCGTTAAATTAATCTAGCATAACCAAGTTCCCGAATCCATTGAATTTCTGGTTCGCAGAAGTAAAATATACTCTCACATTTTACTTGGGTGTCTAATCGACCTGTAATTGATTAGTGGCTGCTCCAAAATGTAAGATAGGTAAGATAAATTGCCTGATTGAATCGAGTAACAAGTTGCGATTGATAGGGCTTGGGAGAGCCTGTTCTAAGCACCATGCTTAGCAATCCATTGATTTTTCCTTGGTGGTTCACCTCCGGAACGGTTGTGACATGTAATTGGCTCGGTCTGATAATATAATTGACACCAATGAATACTTGCTCGTACTTTCTACTTTACACAATAACTTGAATGGAGATCAACTAATAGAGGGAGAACAAAATAGGAGAGCACATTGAAAGCATATGAAAGGTGTGAATATGCTAATAGTGGGAGAACCAAATAGAGAAAGCATCTTGAACTTCTACCGCACAAATTGCCTTCTCTTTACAAAGGGAGATGCTGAAAATGAACTTGAACAGTGGTTAAAGGAAATGTGTAATTATTTATTTATTTAGTGTTTGCCCGTACCACAAAGAGGGGCAATTCTGTACTGGTGGGACAACTTCTAAGGATTCTTATTAGAAAGATGGATCGAGTAAGTACAGAGTTAGAAATTTACTTCGAGTACGTTTCTTAAGAAGTTGGTAACTTTCATTCAAATATACTAGAAAACTGATTTTATGAAAGCTACATCTAGTAACGAAAATTTACTAAACTCTTAAGGAATTTCATTGCTATACGATACAGATGTTTTATTGTAACTTGGTAAGAACGTAAAACGCATAACTTCTGGCGGTGAATATAGCAAATGGATCATGTTAAACAGATCCTATCCAAAACGAAAACCTCATAAATAGAGCGTGAGGCATAATTTTACGTAAGTCATCCCAGAGGGTATTGTATTGTACGTTGCATGGTATCACAGATATGTCCATGCTTTATGTGAATCGAGATAAATCTAACTCAGTTTCTGGGAACATGAGCAGGGATGCCAAGAGGTTGAAAGCCATGCCGTAGACTTGCTTGCCATGCTTTGTCGATGTCAGTGATCGTGTAGCCGCACTCATGCTCCTCCCACCCTTCTGCTGCGTGTAGAATCCCCGCGACGTGCCATGCGCTCATCAATCTTCGTGGCAACCAGTTCTGCAGTATTACAACGAGAGTAAGAGGAAGATTTATACTAAGGCTGCTGCAAATATACATATTTATCCACACAAGGAATCTGCGAATCAAAACGACTATATGGTGATGTAAGGATTGTGGTTCGGCCAAAGTAACAATGATCCATGTGTCACTGGTCTTAACTACCTGGTAGAATCAATCTTTTTACACCCTGTGTTTACTATGAATATTAGTAAGGTAGGTTTTGTACATGTAATAAAAGCACACGTTTTGTTCCCTGCAAAAATTATTAAAGCACACTCCCTTCCACAGAATAAATAAAGATCAATTGAAATTTCAATTATAGGCCATATCATACCTCACAGGAATGCACATTCTCAAGCGACGGAGGAGTGACCATGGCTGGTGTGTGGTGATAGAAGCAGTCGCTGCGCAACTTTTTTGGAGGGAATTGCGAGAAGGGTATGAATAATGTCCCTTTTGATGCTTTTAACTGATCTTCTTCTGTTATGTCATCTCCAACTATCCATACCTAAATATTTACCGATCGTTAGCAGTCATTCGTAAATGTTACCGTCACCAGCAGGTTGTGATAATAAGTTCTTATGGCATTATATACACAGATGTGATAGCAATTAGGGTTTCCAATTCTTACTAAGAATCCAAATAAAACCCAGAAACGAACACGCTGAATCCTTAAAAGTCTACGCACGTTGATATTTGAAGTTGTTTGCGACAAGGGCAAGATTCATTTACCTTTGGAGCATGGCCGCTTGAGCGAAGCAGATAGATGTCACACTTGTGATTGAGTGATTTCTTCAGCATCTTGTACTCATGTTCATGCAGTGTAGCCACCTAAAATAAGTTTTATTTCATCATTGAAGAAGCGCAGTTAGAGGTAGAGAGCCAAATCAGAAAGACAATAAGTAAATGATGCCAAGAACAGCCCTCTTATCCTCTTTTTTGTTTATGGGATTTGAATTAACAAAGATGTTGTAAGGTGGCCAATTTCATGCTATCTCCAATATAATGAAAATTGACAATGTTCACATGTACATGGAAAAATCACACATTTCGATCGAAAGTTAATAAAACTTTTTGCATGTGTGTCGTAAGTAATGTCCATGCTATATCTACTTAGCTATTGCAGGTAAAATCTTTTTGCCGAACAGAAAGCTAGACTTTGCTACGGAGAATCAAGTGGAATTTTCTAAATTAATACAATCTTTTATATACTTTGCTACTGAGAATCGGGTGTCATCTTTTTAGTTGAGGATCTGAATTCTCTTCCCTTTTTATTACTAGGAAGTCCTTTTTAAGAAGATAATATCAAAATATTTAAGTATTAAACCACATCATAATCTAATAGTTTAAGATTTTAAAACAGTGAGCACAAATCCCGTAAAATTTCACAAATTATGCTATCAGGAGGTTCTGAGTTTAAATCCTTTTGATTCATATATTTCATATGGGAATCGAACATGTATCGCGTGCTCTCTAATTTCACTTGAATGCTACTCACCAGATGCAGCCTCCATTACTATAAGAAATGGAGGATTACTTTAAGCATTTGGGGGGGGGGGGGCGCGCGGGCGCGCGGGCGGGCTGGGGAGAGCTGCATAAAAGAATTACCATCCAAATTATTTTACCTGGATTCCCCTTTGGCACAAAGCAAAAGCAATGGCATAGGCCACCTTAGTGAGCCTCCCTCTGAAGAGGACTCGCACAGTTCCTTTGGGAATGCTATTGACCACCACAGCCACTGCTAATCCACTCCCATCCACAACTCTCACTCTGAGCTGAGGATGTCTCTCCACATACAACCCACCACATCCATTCAGCTCCTCTCCCTGCAAATACCAAGTTTTGAGTACTTGAGTGTCGTCATATTGCTTTGTTGGGCAATAACAGCAGAAGTCCTAAAACTTGTAATGATAGTATATTTAAGTCCTAAAACTTTCATTTCGTGCATTTAAGTCCTGCAAGTCGCAATTTCATTGCATTGAGTCCTTTCATTCAACTCCGTCAATTTTAAGTGAACAGAAATGCAACATGACTTTTGTATTATTTTTTAGTCTAATGTGAGCCGCTAATAAATAACGCCACATAGTTTTCTGTCCACTAAAACTTAACGGAGCCAACAAAAGAACTAAAAATGGACCAATCTGACAAGTTTTAGGATTTAAATTTACGAAAGAAATTTTTAGGACTTGAATAAAGTGTCTTATCGTGATAAGTTTTGAGACTTGCCTGTAGTTGTCCCTTCTTTCAATAATGTTTTGTTTTGTTATTTTTTGCTTCTTGCAAAATTTCGTGAGATCATCATCATTTAATATAATGTCAACCTTTTGAAACTACTTGTTGCCCAATATTATAGCAGAGTATAAGCTAAGCTTCCGAATGCTCCCACTCCTCTTTTAAGTGTTAGAGAATGATTTTGTTTACATTATAGTAAAGTCTAACACATTTAATAATTAAAAATGTTGAACCCTAAGCAAGCTAGTTACATGACCATAAAACTTTGTCTTGCAAAATTGTCCACCATGAACCTATCATGATTCATATTATAATGTCATGAGATGCTTGCCTGGTTCAAGAGACCCAAGCACAAAACCTTGGTCCCCTTTTCCTCTGCCTCCAAGATGGCTTTCTCAATCAGACCATTGATCGGCTCCTTTTGCCATTGCATGAAGTACTAGAAAGAAGATCAAAGAAATGATTGATACAAATGAGAAAATGACCAAACTAAGAGCAAAAAAACTTCAGTAATATAAAATAAAAACCAATTGGGCGGATAGATAAAAGAAAATCTTACTTGAATGCTATACTTTGGAATGACCCATGTTTGTAATTTGAGTTTATTGAAGCGATGCCGCTCAACCACAAAAGTGCGCTGATAAAGCGAAGTAACCATGATGGACCATAGAGTCACAGGCCAAATCAACCAGAGATACCACCTCGATGATCGGTCGGGCCGGGACGCAAGAGAGGCGAATCCTACCCGCAGATGATAGATCGACTCGGGAGATGTAAGGTGGGTCAGATGCACGACATCGGACACTTCTGCGCCTCGCTCGAGCGAAGTCTCGTAGAGTTTATCAGAGTACTTGTCCATCGTTCCGTAGATGTAGTCGTAAAACGGCATGAACAGGGAGTAGTTAGTCCGGAATTGTGTGTGATGTAATGAATGAAACCTGCAACATTGGAATGATGTGACGTAATAATATCATCAATTAGCCAAAATATTAATCGTATGAAGTCTTTTGACGTATAGACAGAGCTAATCCCAATGTGAAAAATTTTATGTCCATATATTTCTCAATAAGATCCAATTATACAACAAATGTGATTGGTCTCAAGTAGCCACACGACGATCAAAAGCTTGTCTTGATCAGTCCACCAATCAGTTTATACGATTTGGATCGAAGTACATATAAGTACTATGTGTTTATAGTTAATCCCCCTTACAAAACATGTTCATTTCAGTGAAAGTAAAAGCAAAAAGTACCTCCTGCCAAAAATTATAAAGCTATTTAAATTATAAGAAAGCAATATTTAAACTTACGGGTCAAATTTTTGCATTTTACAAAAGTTCGAAGTAATTCGAATTGTGACATTGTCAAAATGCGTGCACACAAGAGTTTATCATATAGTAACTAAGAAAAGTTCGATATAGACGGGCCTTGACACTCTAGTTTAAACGGAAAAAAAAAATTTGAGAGGTGAGAAATGTACCGTGAGAATAGAATTGTTGAAGAAAGTAATTCGAATTATGAAATTGTCAAAATGCGTGCGCACAAGAGTTTATCATAGAGTAAATAAGAAAAGTTCAATACAGATGGGCCTTGATACTCTAGTTTAAACGAAAAAAATCGAGAGGTGAGAAATGTGCTATGAGAATTAAATCGTTGAAGAAAATGATTCCATGGAGCTGTTTAGAGCATAAGTTATTGACTCTTTGTTGATTTAATATTTTTGATCGAATTTTGATATTCTGTAAAGGGTTCCATATTTAGGGTATTGATATGAGTGATGAGGAAGAAGATGAAAAAAAGAGAGTTAATATCATGAAAAATCCCAAATTAGTACACCCAAACCCAAAATTAGTTTTTTTTATTCTTTACCAAAAAAAAAACTAATTTTTTGACCACCAAAAATCCAAAATCGGTACACCTATGACAAATATACCCTCCGTTAAATTGGATTAATACCATTAAAATCATAAATTGGTAAATCTGTGATAAACAGATGGGTAAAACCCTAAACTAGTACACCTGTCAACAGCCACGTGTCATCCAACTTAGCAATTTGACCGTAAAATTTAATGGAAACTAACGGAAGATAAATTTATCACATATATACTAGTTTGGGGATTTTTCGTGATCAAAACATTAGTTTGTAGTAAAATTTATCATAGGTGGACTAATTTAGGATTTTTTCGTGGTATTAACAAAAAAAAATGTAAATTTTGGGATATGATGAAGGTACGTTTGGAACTGAACAAAAATGGTGGGGGGTGGAGGACGATGGTGGGATCATTTCTTTTTCACACCTCTTAATTTTTCCTTGGGCCCCACCATAACAAGATTATTGAATTCTTCACCTACCGTTTCTTCCTTTTGGCAATCCCGCTCCCCCACATCTCCACAAAACAAGAATTCAACGTAACCCAAGAACGTCGATCTGTACTTCAAAGCAACATGACTTTCTGTTGCACCAGACACAAACATAAATCGCCAACCTACCATGACAACTCCTGTTGATCCTAAGGCCAAAACCCATTTATTGCAGGCCCCTCTCAAAGTTTTTTTGTTCCCCAGCATTCATTCATTCAGACCCGATCACACCCATGTTTCCTTCCTCACACTCGTCAAAACAATGTTTTTATTTTCAAAGTATCGATGATCCACTTTGCGACAACAGTTACTGCATTGGAAATTACGATATTTCATGAATTAGTTACTTAAAATAAGTGTCTTGACACATTTGCGTTCGCACATTTCTTTTGCTCGTAGCACAATGATAGAATCTGACTTTTAAATCAAAAACTTGCTTGTTGAAGTATGTAGCGAGAACATATTGAACATTTAAACAACGGGAATTTAAGTTACGAGTTCACTTCTGAGAAGTCATCATATCGGATTGCGTAGTACGATCTGGATAATGACTGATATACAAAATTAGTATATAAAATGATGTGATTGACTGTCGATGAGGTCATATTCGACACTCAATAACGGTTTCTGTCTTATAAATTTGTATACTAATTTTGTAAACCAATCTTAATAGACTCATCGATAATTGATTACTGTGGTTTAGAAAGAGAGAGAGAGAGAGACTTACGAGGGGGTGTACATGAGGTACTTGAGAGGGGGGAAGTATGAGAAGATCCACTTAGGAATGAGCTCGAAATTGCAGTGCCCCATGTTGTTCATTAGGTCAATGTACGTCACGTAGCCGGCGAATGACATGATCGACGCCATCCCCATCCGCACCGTTGTGAGCAGAGGTATCGCGAACAGCAAGAAGTATGCCACGTGCTCCGCAAATGGATGAATCACAGCTGCAAACCAACCAAAATTTCAGCGTCTCGTTAATCTACACAATTGAACTTGAAGAAGATAAATGCACGTTCGGTCTGATTATGATGCAAGATGGTAAGACTTCTTACCGAAAACATTTACAGCAAAGGGTATGTCGAAGTTATTTGGATTGGTTGTTTGAACAAGTCAGATCATTCAATGGATGGATTGCGCTAATTTAGATTACCAATCAAAATTTTACGCATCATTTAACGAAAACGTTTTGGTAAAAGAATTTGGTGCATCTATCATCATTTGTATCTTATGAAGTTTAAATGTATTTGGAACAATATCACCAGTAAGTCCCTCTATTATTACTGGAAATTCGAAATCGCCCATCTAGTTGTTTCTTGTTTATGTTCATAATAGTTCTTGTACTATTGAAATGTGCTACCGATAGCCCTTGAGGCGATCCTACGGTGGATTCTACTGACAATTGACATGACTTAGCGCTATTAAAAATTATCGACAGGCACTATTTTAGAGAAAGATAACGTGGAGTGCATGTGTGAACTATTTTTTTTTTTTTTGGCATTTTTCAAAATGCCCCACATCACCTTACAACATTTTGGCTAAAACCAATGGAGCTTTCATCCTCTTTACTCGTCAAGGACTTCTTCAACTTCAAAACCTAAGTTGACCCTTGCACAAGCTTAATCTCCTCTAGTTCGTAGCCTCAAACCCGCGGCTATGGTCACTCAAGCTTCAACCTCGCAGCTATGGCCACTCGATCCAGCTATGAGTTCTTTGTAATTTGATATCTTCGTGCATGCAGAATTAGTTGTGACAAGATAAAGCTAGGTGAACTGCTCAATCACATGGCTCATGCAAGAACGTGGTCCACGTTCAACTACAATGCCCGATACTCACAAGAAAAGAAGCACTTGCATATATATCACATGAGCATCATAAACACCCAAAAAGGTCAGATCGACACTAAAGTAAATGCATGACATGGACATTTCCTACTTTCTATCGTTCACTTCGTGCATGCTTTTTGAGATTAAGATGCTCGTATTTAACTAAAGAGGAGAGAGAGAGAGAGTACAGGTGAAGAGTTCCTACAAGTGATAGGCTCAGTGACAATGGAGGAGTGATGGTGAGAATGATAACGGGAGTAGAGATAGTGATGGTGAAGCGCCCTGTGAAGCCAGTAGTAGAGGAACTCCACCGGCCCGACGTGAAGCAAAATCGTGGTTATCACACCGTTTGATCTCCACACCGGCAAGCAAGAACCTCCGGCAAGTGTCATTGCCCCAATGTAGAAGATCAATCCATTGAACAGTATTTGGTCGTCCCTGCACAATAATTTTAACAAATTAAACAAAAAAAAAGGAAATGTTTAACAATTACTTCATTAGTTCATTCCATGAAATAACCAGGCTTGTTTGAAGAAAAACACACGGATAGGCTGTAATATTTTTTTTTAATGTGTACGGTCGACTCCGTTCCTTAATTATAGGATCTTGCTATTAGCTGTTTGATGATATGATTGCGAGATATTAATTATGCTCCTTATTTACGACTGGTTTACTAAATTCATATGTCCAATGATGCGAAAAATTTTAACTTATCCTATAGATGAGTGGTTAATTATATTCAACATCCACCACAACCTTTAATTTACCAGTCTATGAAAAGCAAAAAAAAAAAGAAGATATTTTACGGTCCCACCAAAATTTAAATAGGGAAACAGCCATGTTGATATCTCTAAATTTACAAAAATCACGTAAAAATTACACTGGAATCTACATGTTGAAAACCATAAATCGGGAATGTTTTAGGTGCTTAAAAAAAAGAGAGAGTTAAATGCTGCAATATTTGAATAAAAAAAGTAAACCAGTGAAAAAATACGGAAACAGCTACAAAAAAACCCAAAATTATGCCCACTGTGACACATTTACTCTAATTTTTTTTTGTGATATCCGAAACTCTAAACTATACTAACTATGACATATTTTCCCTAAAATTTTTCTTCTGACATAAAAAACTCCAAACGTATACCTATGTGACACATTTATCCTCTGTAAGGGTTCTGTTAGATGACTTTTCTGCCAAAACAATGTCAATTTAATTCACTTCAAACCACACGGGCACCATGTCAACGCAATTTGCTTTCTAGCGTCCATGTATAAAGATTTTTAACTATTCTCATTGACAAAACTTTGACGGAGGGTAAATGTGTCACACATGTACAAATTTAGGATTTTTGGTGTCACGAAAAAATGTTTATGATAAATGTGTCACAGTATGCATCATTTAGGATTTTTGGGGGCCTTTGTCCAAAAAAATAAAAGCCACAAACCCTTAGTGAATAAGTGCCACCAAATTTTTTATGATGAGACAACTTTTCTATCCATCTATTAAAGTTAAGACCCTTTTCAGTTTTCATTTTTCTGTCGATATCATCAACTTGATAAGCCCTTGTTATGATCCCCTTCTTATGGTTGAAGAAAGTCGAGAAAAAGATGATGATGAGGACATGATCTTTCTGATCCCCGTCGAGACAAAAGAAGATGATGATGAGGAGGGATGGACTGACCAGTCTCTTTCTCGGTCGACCTGCTCAAATTCAATGCCCTTGTCGACGATCCTGCCATTCCCTCTGGCATTGCGGTACCGAGACAGAGTTATCCAAATTTGGTTGTGGAGCATCCTCCATAGCAGAAACGGAAATATCAGGAAGGTGGACAGGTCCCTCTCCCTCCCATTGCTGTTGAAGAAGACGTAAGTGCTGCGGACCACCCAAGGAGCCAGCACCACGTACTGCACACAGATAAAACGATGAAAAGAGCCGTCTTTTTAGGACAGTTGATAAGCCTCGTTGATTAAGAATTAAAAGCGAGACACGACTGCTTTGGCGATAAAGGGATATCAACGAATGATCCTGGCAAATTGCCTTGTCGTTTTCAAGAAAGTTGCCTTATAAGAAGATTTTTCTGTCCTATGTTTTGAATATATGCCTCGCACATAACTTGTAATAGAGCTTTGCTTTTGTTAGTATAACAATTTTTGGGCCACAGTAAAAGTAAAGGCCTCTTGTGAACCACGAATCCTTAAACGAATGAATCTCACAACAATTCATAATTATTTATTATTTATTTTTTTGTGATCTAGAACATATTATTAATCTCACAGTAGATTAAATACCGTAACTTAATTTTTTCTACTTGCAATATCAATCATTGCTCATTGCTTATCTATCATAGCATCCTAGAGATGCATGCTACATTGTCTATTTTCTCAGCCAACAGACGAGCATGGGCGATATAGACTTGAGTACATGGTTGTTGATAACCACGACCCATGTTCTCTTCTTACCTCTCATTTTCAACCACGTGGAGCACATGTATTACTATGTTCGGCCACGAGGCGAGTGAAAATTCTTGCCTGGACCAGAATCCATGAACCGTATACGATCATAGCCGTCGATCATACATGAGATCGAGCTACATATGGTTCACGTGGGATCTACAAGATCGGAATCTACATGGTTAGTGATCGTGACTGGCTCGATTCTTATCAACTCGGGTCTAGGTCAAAGTATTCCCACGAGGTGACACGGGGGTAAATACATATCTATAGGGGCTGGCCAGTGAAGAAAAATAACATTTGGGAGAAAAAATGATATCGTTAACGATATCTATACTATGATAATGAGTCTAAGCCTCTTGATCACAAGGAGGTAGCGACGCATCGGAACATGATCTTGATGCACTTTGTTTGCAGAAACCTTGACGATAAGCCCATGTAACTACGCAAACGGTTGCCAAAGTGCGCAAATTTTTCTTCTGCGTGCATGTATGAGAGAGAGAGAGAGAGAGAGAGAGAGAGAGAGAGAGAGAGAGAGAGAGTTGATACCTTCAAGCTTCCAAGAGGCTTCCATGGCCAATCAGTGAGTGGTCCTGGTTTAGAAGCCATGATTCACTTCGACACCACCACTCCTCTCTCTCTCTCTCTCTCTCTCTCTCTCTCTCTCTCAGAGTCTCAGTCTCAGCACAGGCATTGCTCTAGTAGCGTTGGACCTTATATAATGCTTCTCTGCTGTTCTCAGCGCAGGTATTGCCTTAAAGAAAAAGGGGGAGGTCATGCTGTCCCGGTACGGGGCCACCCACGTTTGATGGCTCATAAATAATATTATCGTTCTGACCAAAATAATAATAATAATAATAATAATAATAATAATAATAATAATAATAATAATATAGTAATGGAAAACGTTGTAAGAGTTTACTTAGGATTCTTTGGAAACTAAGGAAAAACGAGGAATAAAAGGGGGCGTGGAAATTATTGGAATATTTTCAAATTATAGGATTGTGTTTGCACAACAAGTTGATACTGATTTGCTCCAGAAAATCATTGCTTTTGCATGTGTGCAACGTTCAAAGAAACGAATCTAACGATATTATCGAAGGAGGAGATATCCATAGGGTAATCAACCGCAAAATTTAGACGGCGGAATATCGATTTACAATAAAATCGATGCTATTCAACAATTCATAGATAAAGAAATATATGATATCTGATACGCAAATAATATCGATAAATTGGACTTTCAACTTTTTTGAAATTTTTTTTATTTGTTGAGATACATAGGACACAAGCTCTCTTATTTGCACACTAAAACCCAGGTTAGGAATCGAATTATTATCACTTCTCAAGTGTAACGAGTAGCTTTCGAAATACACGAGTTTGTGCTCTTGAATGCGATAGCAAAAAAAGGTGCAAGGTCGGATGTTCCAGCCATGCTCAAAAGGGTGTTCACAACTGTGATAGTATATGGAATTTCATCTTTGGCACTTGAGAAAAATTGCGAGCTTAGCGCTTGCCGGAGGTGTTGATGATATATCTCGAGAGACCAATCCATTTTCGAAATGAGTCTTGCATTAATACATTTTGTCCTACCTTCAACCCGAAATATCGTACCTCGCAAACATTTCAAAGATTTTCAGTAAATAGCCAACATCTGTTCACATGGTTAGTTGGGCCTCCCCTCAAGGACTTGGTAGATAGGAAATTTACTCCTCTCATTTGTTGCTGGATCTGCTTCCGCCTCTTCCATTAATGAGTTTTGCAGCAATTACGGGCGTAAGGTAAACGCGACGAATGCCTTTTCTTTTCTTTTTTTCTGTTTTTGTTTCCGTGATTTGAAGTGCCGATCCCTTTCAATGGTATACTGGGAGACGGAAATCTCCGTCCTTACATGGTTAAGCATTTTCGAAATAGCCGAAAAGAGTTGATTGTACCAATGAAAAGGTCCGAAACTTAATTTCATTACGTACATAAGACTTATGACTCTCGGTCTGATTCTCCCATCTGTATGCATGATGATGCTGGAGCATTCCTTGAAGACGTAGACTATGCAAGAGAGTTGCCGATCTAGTGGACAAGCTGACAATGATCTAACAAGTTGCCAATTTGCAAGCCTATTGCTGAATACCAAGTCTAATCGATTAGGACGGGTCCGGAATTTGTTCGCATTTCTCGAAAGCCATTAATTCAGTGATTGGAACTAGTAAACCATGGAGACCCACAACCAGCTAAACTTATTTCCCATATTTTCAAGGTATAGTAAATGTCGTTCAAGTTTCTAGAGTGCTTATTATGGTTGTTTTCTAGTAAATCTTGTTATATCTTTCCTATAAGTCTTTTGTCTTTCCAATGAGTCTTTAGTAATTACTCATACTTAGAGGGTTGTTCCATGCTCATCTATATAAGCATGCTATGATGAATAATAGAAGAAGACTTGATTGATTCATAATTATTTGAGCCTTTGGCTTGAGAAGAAGAAATTTTTATTGTTTTGCTATTACTTCTTAGATGGATTCCCACAGGTGACAAGTATTGCTCTTATCTTTTAGGTAAGTTACCTATGAGTGGTGAGCGACCTATCCATTTAAGTTTTGACTCGTGTTACCTCCTACTTCTTTACACTCTCTCCGACGAAAAATTGGTATCAGAGCTTAGTTCAATGGCTAGTTGTCATCGACGTGGACCAAACGTTTTGTCTTCTATAGTAGGGGTGAGCACCGTTCCAGGATAGAACTGGGAACCAGAGAGCAGGATTGGTGGGTCCGGTTAGGTTCTCGGTCCTAGGGAGGAAGGTTCCAGTTCTCGGTTCCACTTTTTAGGAACCATCAGTTCCCAATTCCTAGTTCAGTTCCTAAACCGAGGCCTAGAACCGGAACCAAGAACCATAACCGAGAACTGGGGAACTGAAATCGGGAACCGGGAAGAGAATTGAGAACCGAAACGGGAAACGGGAACCCTAAATAAATAAATAAAACCCTAATTTTCTTACTACTTCTCACTTCTCAATTCTCAAATTCTCATCTACTTAGATTAGCTGTTGGAAGGCTTTTTTGTCTCTCCAAAGTGTTGAACCATTACCATGTGAAACAAAGGGGCAAATATCTTCTTTAAATGATCGACTCTAAGAGTTCTAGTAGAAAAATTGTAGCCCATCACTGCACGTGCATGGTTTGCTCGGATGTCTTTCTCATCCATCGGAGAAGAATGATTTACCAATCCACTGAGATGTTGATATTTAATTTTGTTTCTTGCGAAGACTTGCGTTTAGGAATGTAGCTATATGCTTCAAAGGCTTGTGCTCTGGTCACACATGCACGACATCTTTCATAGGACTTTTTTTTTTTTTTGGTATTGATCTTTCATAGGATTTATTCGCTTGCATTAAGTGCCTCCCACCCACCTCGTGCACATTATGTTCCACCAACCGGCGCTCCAAGTGCTGACTTTGGCCAACTCCAATTGGCCTCTATTTGGCTGATCATCATCGCTCGCAGCGGAAAAAATATCAGGTAGACCCATCCCTCCGCGTTAGTTTATTGATCAGTCCACTTATCGTTTGACACGTGCACAAGGCCAACTCATCAATTTTTATTTGGCAAGTGGGACCCACTGCAACTTGCTCGAACGCAAAACCAATTTTTTGTCACGGTAAAAAGCAAGAACTTGTCATTAAATGAGATAATATCTGGTAAAAAGGAAGGAAAAGAAAAAGGAAATTAGGAGAAATAGTGTTGGAAGATAGCGAGGCTCAGATTCGCCTTGGATCATACAACTGAAAGGAACCCCACCGTTCATGTACAGTCTGTATCTATCATCATCTTGGAGATTACGTTTGGTGGATTAGTTTGCTTGCTCAAGTTAAACTTAAGTCTCTCATCGTTCACAACGCACAAAGGAACTTGCGATTTTTACTTTGTGAAATCTAATGTAAGTGTTGCAACAACTGATGTGGTTGAGCAGATTAATTTGCAGTGCAATTCGCAGGAATGTTGTGGGTATTATAGGAATGATATTGTTGATAATTGCATCACCGGCATTAATACGAAACTACAACTAAGGAAATTGTGCAATTTCGAGTGTACAAATTGCCCTAGTGTTATGCATAGCTAGTCGCTTTAAATGTCATTGCCCTTGTAATAACTATGCGCGAATCTTATTGGACTTCAAAATTGTACATGTACGACTTGGATTTCGAGATACTGACATGTGCTGGTCTTACGAGAGAGAAGAGGGAGTAATTAAGATTTGCAAGAGAGGTTTATCTTAAGGTGTGGTTGAATACGGTGTAAAATGCACATTATCATGATTTGAAGATTAGGGTTAGGCGACGAGGATACATGCACATTGTGACCGAGATCCTCATACCACTTGGACAAGAACAAAGAGTACTATAGGGATGGCATTCACTTCATCTAAAAGCAAAGATTAATCTCTATATTTAACCTATAAAAGTATGAGGGTCTCACTTTAGGAATGAGTTCTTTGTAATTTGATATCTTCGTGCATGCAGAATTAGTTGTGACAATATAAAGCTAGGTGAACTGCTCAATCACATGGCTCGTGCAAGAGCGTGGTCCACGTTCAACTACAATGCCCGATACTCACAAGAAAAGAAGCAATTGCATATATATCACATGAGCATCATAAGCACCCAAAAAGGTCAGATCGACACTAAAACAAATGCATGACATGGACATTGCCTACTTTCTATCGTTCACTTCGTGCATGCTTTTTGAGATTAAGATGCTCATATTTAACTAAAGAGGAGGGACCTTTTTGAGATTAAGATGCTCAGATTTAACTAAAGAGGAGAGAGAGAGAGAGAGAAAGAGAGAAGAAGAAGAAGAAGAAGAAGAAGAAGAACAAAGTACAGGTGATAGGCTCGGTGACGATGGAGGAGTGATGGTGAGAATGATAACGGGAGTAGAGATAGTGATGGTGAAGCGCCCTGCGAAGCCAGTAGTAGAGGAACTCCACCAGCCCGACGTGAAGCAAAATCGTGGTTATCACACCGTCTGATCTCCACACCAGCAAGCAAGAAGCTCCGGCGTGCGTCATCGCCCCAATGTAGAAGATCAATCCATTGAACAGTATTTGGTCGTCCCTGCACAATAATTTTAACAAATTAAACAAAGAAAAAAAAGAAATGTTTAACAATTACTTCATTAGTTCATTCCATGAAATAACGAGCCTTGTTTGAAGAAAAACACACGCATAGGCTGTAATATTTTTTTTAATGTGCACGGTCGACTCCGTTCCTTAATTAAAGGATCTTGCTATTAGCTGTTTGATGATATGATTGCGAGATATTAATTATGCTCCTTATATTACGACTGGTCTGCTAAATTCATATGTCAAATGATGCGAAAATTTTTAACTTATCCTATAGATGAGTGTTAATTATATTTAACATCCACCACAACCTTTAATTTACCAATCTATGAAAAGAAACAAAACAAAAGATATTTTACGGTCCCACCAAAATTTAAATAGGGAAACAGCCATGTTGATATCTATAAATTTACAAAAATCACGTAAAAATTACACTGGAATCTACGTGTTGATATCACCAAATCGTGAATGTTTTAAGTGCTTAAAAAAAAAAAAGAGAGTTAAATGCCGCAAGATTTGAATAAAAAAAGTAAACCAGTAAAAAAAATAAGGAAACAGCTACAAAAAAACCCAAAATTATGCATACTATGACATATTTACTCTAAATTTTTTTTT